CTGATTTCATAATCTTATCATTGAAGACAAGTGGTAAATGTAATTTTTAAGTTATGTTAAGAGAATTCCCAAGGCTTTGCTCTGGCCCAGTGGGGACACTTGAATGAACTCAGAACAGTACTGTGGACAGCATGGCAGGAGAGACATGTGGGAGAACATAGCCTTTGAACACAGCCGCGCTTTGAGATGTCCATACGAGACTTGTTTGTTTTGGGGGTTGGGTTAAGTTCGGGAAAATCATTCTAGGTGTGGAGAGAATCTGAAATGTATCAGTAATGTAAGTAGAAGGGATCGATTGTGAATGTGTAATACAAATGGAAAAGCAGGTTTTAAGTTATTCACTAGGGAACCAACTGTAGATCTTTCTCACCTTCTCTTTTTCTTCATACCTGCTTTCTGCAAGTTGCAAGAAAGGAAGCATATGAAGATGTGATGGGACACTTTGGTGAATAAATGACGTTGACCTTTGGTGGATTTGTGTTAGTTTACAAGGTGGAAGCAATGATTTCTAAAACTTGCTCATTAAAACCAAACATTCCTAAGCATATCTGAGAGATACAGTTTACTTATTAAGTAAAAAGTCTTTGGGGCACCTGGCTCGCTCAGTAGGAAGAGCACGCGACTCTTGATCTCAGGGTCGTGAATTTGAGCCCCACGTTGGGCGTGGAGCCTACTTAAAAAAAAAAAAAAAAAAAAAACTTTTTTTTCAGTCTCTTAAAATATAGCTTTTATGTAATAAAGCGGATTTGTATTTTCGGACAAAAGTTGTTTTCTTTTCAAATTCAGACCTGTTAAAAAGAACGATTACCTTTTCATTCAACTCTTTTCCTGTTTCTAACCTTAGGAGATCCAGAAGAGCATTTGACAAAAACTACTTTTTCAATTTATCTTGACATCTGTCCCATTCCATTTTGCTTTGTGACTTCTTCATTTAACAATAAATTATCTTTAAAGAAACAAAACTTAGAGATGCCTCTCTTTTTTTAAAGTAAAATTGTAATGTTTTGGTGAAGAAACGTGAGAAGAACAACTCCTCAACTTGAGAAATTTTAAGACGTGATTGTGCTTTAATCATATCACATTTCTGTCGGGAGTATGCATTCCCCTAGGCGTACAAGAAGATTTCACAGGGACCCCTTGGCACACGCAGTTTTAAATAATTTGTTCCTAGATTCAATGTGTACTCTTTCCTGAAACCCATCTGCCCTGCAGCTGTGACTGGGCCATTCCTTCCTCCCCACCTCCCCTTTCAAGTTGCCTTTCTCCCATTTTGCAGAAGAAATATACGTGTTAGTCTAACACATCTTAATTTTATGGTGGGATGTTGCTCTGGGCTGGAAAAACCCATAGGCACTAGACAAAGGGACAGAAACCTCGGTATCGGGGCACCAAAACCCCACTGGAGGGATTCATGTCTGTCATTGTACTACACATAATTTCGTCAAGAACGAAGTATGGTAGCAGAAGCAAGATTGGCCTGTGTTGGGAAGTTCTTCCTTCCGACGTCTCATAAAGTGAGGCAGTTGAAGTGATAACACTATTCATTTAATACCCACAGTCTCTTCAATCTCAGACTGTTGCCTTCCCTGAAGGAAAGTCCCTGTGGGCAAAGTGTTGATAAGAAGAGAGTTGATAAGAAATGTGAAGGCGTATTATTTCATTCAAGTGTCAAATTCATGGCAAGGCTCTGTGCCTTATCTGTTAGGCCTCGAGTTACAACTCAAGTATGTCCCAGGAATGCATGTTATCATTTCTATATTATCATACGTATATATATTTAAAGCCAGTCTCTTTTTAACAGAAATGAAGTCTGATTTGGCTGGTAGGGATGACAACAAGAACTGATATTGCCACTTAGGTTATATAGTGTAAATTTCCCATAAAATGAATGAGCTAATAGCAGTTTCAAGGTTTTGTTGGAAAAATATTTAAAGTAAGATTAAAGCTATAATTGTGTACGTGTGTGTGTGTGTGTGTAGAGAGAAGCAAATACATGTTGAAATTAATATTTCACTTTTTCCTTGAAAAGTATCTTTCTGAGAATATCAGATTAAGCTGGTATCTCAAGGGAAAAAGTAGTAGGTGTAATTAACAATATGATAAATCTTTTTTTTTTTTACTTTAAGTTTATTATTTTTTTTTCAACGTTTATTTATTTTTGGGACAGAGAGAGACAGAGCATGAACGGGGGAGGGGCAGAGAGAGAGGGAGACACAGAATCGGAAACAGGCTCCAGGCTCTGAGCCATCAGCCCAGAGCCTGACGCGGGGCTCGAACTCACGGACCGCGAGATCGTGACCTGGCTGAAGTCGGACGCTTTAACCGACTGCGCCACCCAGGCACCCCTAAGTTTATTATTTTTGAGACAGACAGAGACAGCGTGAGCAGGGGAGGGGCAGAGAGAGAGAGAGAGCACAGAGCCCAATGTGGGGCTCAAACTCACGAAACTGTGAGATCATGACCTGAGCCAAAACCAAGAGTCAGATGCTTAACCGACTGAGTCACCCAGGCACCCCTAATAATATGATAAATCTTAGGAAGCCTTTTTGGTATACTTCCCAGAAATGTGAAAAATGAATGACCTTATTGATTAGGTAACAAATCATATTGCAAACAAACCCGCCTCTTTTCAAAAATTTTTTAATGTTTTATTTATTTTTGAGAGAAAGAGAGAGAGAGAGACAGAGTGCGAGCAGGGGAGGGACAGAGAGAAAGGGAGACACAGAATCTGAAGCAGGCTCCAGGCTCTGAGCTGTCATCACAGAGCCCGACGCAGGGCTCATACCCGTGAACCGTGAGATCATGACCTGAGCTGAAGTTAGACACTTAACTGACTGAGCCACCCAGGTGACCCTCAAAATTAAATTCTAATAATTTTGTTTTAGAGTATAATCACTACAAAGTGTTTTGTGCATAACACTACTTCCCAGAGTTCTTTCTATGGACCAAAAGGAGGTTCTTTGATCAAATAAGTTTGGGAAGGCGTGCTGGGTGGCTCAGTCAGTTAAGCGTCCAACTCTTGGCTTCAGCTCAGGTCATCATCTCATAGTTCATGAGATCGAGTCCCACACTGGGCTCTTGTCAATGCCGACAGCATGGAGCCTGCTTAGGATTCTTTCTCTCTGTCTCTCTCTGCCCCTCTGCTGCTCTCTCTCAAAATAAAAGAATTAAACATTAAAAAAAAATAAGTTTGGGAAAACGAAAAGCTGAAAATACCAAATATGTTCATTGCAGGGCTCTTTAGAACACCCACATTAGTGGGGCACCTGTGTGGCTCAGTTGGTTAAGCACCTGACTTCGGCTCAGGTCATGGTTTCACAGTTCATGGGTTTGAGCCTTTCATCCGGCTCTGTGCTGAGAGCTCAGAGCCTGGAATCTGTTTCGGATTCTGTGTCTCCCTCTCTCTCCGACGCTGCCCCACTAGCACTCTGTCTCTCTCTGTCTCTAAATAAATATCAAAACAAAACAAAACCGCTAGTGTTTAGAACACCTGCATTAGTCAGCTTTTGCTGCTTACCAGCCACAAAATCGCAGTGGCACACAGCAGCATTAATTTCTTGTGTAAAAGTTTATAGGCCTGATAGGGCAGTTCTGCCCAAGGTCAGGTGTTGAGTTCAGGTTCATTCCACTTGTCTCTGAAGCAGGCTAGAGAGATTACCTGGGGCACATTCTTCTCATGCAAGAGGTCAAAAGATCCCAGAGGAGCAAGTAGAAACATACAAAACCTCTTAAAGTTTGCACTAGGAACTGCCACCCAGTCACTTCCATGCATGTTCTATTGGCCAAAGCAAGTTGCATGGTCAAACCTAACATCAGTGGGTCAGGGAACCATACTTCCCCCATGAATGTGGGAGGAGTAAATATTTGCTGTGCAATAAACTACCCTAGCCTTTAATATGATAATGTGGATGTAGAATCTTCAATAGGGAAAATCTAGTTTGAAGAATATTCTAAACTCATTGGACCAGAGGACCCAGGAGCATTTCATGGACTAATGAAGGACTAAAAAACATAGCACTAATGTTTTTTGAAATGCACTTTAAGAAATGCTGGTATAAACCATGCATGACAATCAGAGTCCAGTCAGCAAGGCCCAAATCATACTAGATATTTCCAGCAGAGGGGATTTCATATAGAGGATTGATCACACAGGTGTCAGCAGGCTAAAAGAACAAGAAGGGGACCCTGCAGTAACCCCAATTATCAGTAACTGTGTGGGGCAGTTCCCACTCGTAGATTGATCGAGAAATAGCACAAATTACCAATGCCATGATTTGCATACAGATCTCACAGGCACCGAAAGTATACTAAGGTAATATTAGGAACAACTTTATGCCAATGAATTTGACAGCTTAGTTAAAAAGGGGAAATTCCTTTGACAAACTTATCTTACCAAATTGACACAATGAAATAGAAAATCTGAAGAAAAGATACATCAAACTCTCTCTATATATAAACTTCTGTTCTTCAAAGACTCCTTTAAGAAAATAAAAGGTAATCCAGACAAAAAAGATTTACATCTGACAAAGGACTTATATCCAGAATATACAAAGAGCTCCTACAAGTCAACATTGAAAGATGAACAACCCTGTTAAAAATGGGCGATGGGGGCACTTGGATGGTTCAGTCGGCTGAGCATCCAACTCTTGATTTCAGCTCAGGTCATGATCTCACGGTTTGTGGGGTCAAGCCCCACGTTGGGCTCTGCACTGGCAGTGTAGAGCCTGCTTGGGATTCTCCCTCTTTCTCTCTCTGCCCTTCCCCTGCTCACACGCGCTCTCTCTCTCTCTCTCAAAAATAAACATTAAAAATACATACATATTTTTTAAATGGGCAAGGGACTTGAACAGACACTTCACAAAGGCAGATACATGGATGCGATATGAGCACACGAAAAGGTGTTCAACATCATTAGATGTCAGGGAAATGCCAAATAAAACCACAACGAAATACCAGTAGATAGTTATCCAAGAGAAATGAAAACGTGTCCAAAAAAGGAGCACACTCATGACAGTTTTATTCACTAGAGCCATATGAGGTAACTGCAATGTGTCCATTTCACAGTGACTGAAATGTCTGTGGCGTATATTCACAAAATGGAAAACCACTTCGTAATAAAAAGGTTCCAAGTTCCAAGTAGGCACTTTTTTGTTCAGCCCAAAGGCCCCCCAAACACCAGACTCTGAGACCCTGGCTTCACTCCTCCCACATTCCCTCTTGGCTGCACCCCAGGACTTTGTTTTGTGGCTTCTTTGAATTGGCCAGCCACTGAATCCCCATTTCTTTGTGAAGCTCGCCCTTTGATGAGGTGAGCTCTACACCAGCACCAGGCCGGTCTCTCCAACAGCTGCGGAGTTACCCCGGCCCAAAACATCATCGCCAAAACTCCTACTATGGATTGCGTGCTTCCCAGGGGGCGAGGCGCTATGCCAAATGCCCTACGTAATTATTGCATGTGATTCTCACGGCACTGAGGTAGGTATCTGCGTCCCTCTTTCCAGATACGGTGACTCATGCTTGGAGAGGCCATTCCGTGTGCCCGAGGTGACACAGCCCGCACATATAGTGGGAAAGAGAAAAATTCAGCTCTGACGTCAGAACTCATCATTTCCACCACTATGCCAGACTGTCTCATAGCAGAAAGGTGACCACAGGCCATCCCCACTCTCACCACCCACGGAAAGAAAGCTCTAATGCAAAGCGACCAAGACATCCTGAGGCCACAGACCCTTCCATGCGCCGCACTCCCTCAGGCACACTGTGGCTGACCCGAAGACCACGGGAGGTGCAGCCCAGCTTTCCACCCTCTGCTGTCTTCACCTTGAGCACTGGGGTGTCGGGCAAGGTCCTGTGGCACACATCCCCTGTCCTCCTCCCTTTGGGGCCGCACCAAAGCCCACGTTCCCTTCACGTGATTCCATGGTTGCCCTTCAACCTGGATGGCCACACAGAGAGGGCCATTGCTGTCTGCTCGAGGGCCCCTGCCAGGGGGGCTCTCCAGGGGAGGACAGGCCTCTTCCAAACGTGAAAACTCTGTAAGCAGCTGTTTAAGGCAGGAAGAAGGCTGCTCGGTCAGCTGGGGCTAACAGGGACCAAGATGACCACTTGTGCTTAACTTTCAAAAAGGCATTGTGATGTTTTGTATTGGCTTTCAACTTTTCCTGAGTACACTGCAGGTCTTTAATTCCTCAGAAGGCAGGGACCTGATCTTAGACCTCCGCTCTGACCCTCTTGGGCCCTACACTATGCTGCATAGAAACTACCCTATCCCTTGGACCCCTCACGAGGGCTGCATCTTTGTGCCTGAGGGTGATCCCCGTGCCCCCAACGGAAGTAGGTCTCAAGGCCCACACCTTTGGCAGGCTGGAAATGACAGGAAATTAACACGCCCCCCCCCCCCCCAGCACCACACCTCAGCCAATGCCTATGGGCAGTATAACAGCCCAGCTCCCTCACTCTCGGGCTGGATAAGCTCCAGCTACCCAGTATGGAAACTGGTTTAACAGTGTCCCTGGACTGATGGTCTTTCCCTCCTGTGCCTTCTCTACTGACCTTTCCTTTGCCCCCCAAATAATCTAGTTGCATTTGGGTCTTTGTCTCGGGATCTGCTTCTGGAAAACCCAAACTAACCCAACACATGGCCCTCAATAAATACTCGTGCGAGGGAAGGATATTAATTTAGGACAAGTAGCATAGTAAGGTCTTTTTAATCCTCCAGAACTTTGCTTAAAATCCCGTTTTAGGGGATTAGAGGACAATATATATATATATTTTTTAAGTGAGATAAAATTGGTATATAACATTACGGCGTTCCAGGTGTACATTATAATTCAGTATTTGCCCACACGACAAGGTGATCACCACCACAAGTGTGCTTACCATCCATCACTGAGCAGTTGGGCCCCTTTACCCATTTCCCCCATGCCCCCACCCCTTCCCCTCTGGCAACCAGCAATTTGCTCTCTGGGAGGACCATATTTAGAAGAGAAGCAATATTCCTTTTGAGCCTTCTCATAATTATCTCCCAGGGTTGGAGTTCTGGAACTCAGTTATTTTGACAACCACATCAGGGCAGGGAGTGTGTGTAATTTAAAAAAAAAAAAAAAAAAAAAAAAAAAAAGGCTCCAGGATATTTGAGGCACTTTTCTCTGGCCCAGGGAAGCATGCTGTGTTTTACCCGTTAAATTAGCTTAAGATTTAGAACTGAGATCATCTACACATTCTCTTTCTGAGGGGGAGATGACAGACATCTGCGACGAGAAATTAAGTAAGAAAGAGATGCCAACTTGTCCGAGAAAGAAACAAAAAATCCTGAAGCAGCTCTGTCCATTACACTGCGGAGGTTAAGGGACTGCGGTTCCCCCGGCCGATTCGGACGCCCTGGTGGAAGGAGAGAGGCCAACCCGCCGGACTCACCAGACATCCGCTTCCTTCCGACGGAGGTCCGATTTCTTTTTATTATTCTTTTCTAAGGGTAAACCTGTGGGGAGGACAATGCACAAGCCGGTCGGTGTCGGGGGGGGGGGGGGGGGGATGGTCACTCTGGCAGAGCCAGGTCAGAATGTGTGACAGTGCCTCGGAAGAAGGGATCGGGGTGGTGGGCTTTCCTGCCGTCGGGGCCACCGTCTGTCTCCGGGAGGTAGGGTCGGCTCTCCGGGTCCTCCTCGGCGCACGGGTCAGGGTGGAGGCCCTTCAGGGCCAAGAGCCGGTACCGCTTCCTCCGGTTCAGTTTATATACGCGAATCCTTTCCTTCTCTGCCTCCGGGTCGGCGAGAATTCCATCCCAACGCAGGCTTTCGTTGACCTGCTTGGCGAGGTGCTCTTCTATTTCAGCGACAGAGCGGAGACTTCGAGTGGAGGAGTAAGGGGGCGTGGGCTTGCTTTCAGCTTTGTCCTGCTTGCGCTCTGGCCTCGGGCCGGGATCTTTGCGGGGACTTAAGATGTCGTGGAAGGATGAGGACAGCTGCTGATTCTTCAGGCCTCGACTCTGATGTTTATCTGCTGAGCAGATGAAAGGTGTTAGCGGTTGTCAGCCTGCTGCCTGCCCTCCGCCTGCTCGGTTGCGATGCCCGAGTCACCAAAGATGTGAGGGGGTGGAGGCCCCTGGGGACCTAGAGCTCAGCTAGCCAAGCCCACCAACCTGTACACACGCACTGGCTCTATGCTTTCCGTCAGGTCATTTTGCGGGGAGGAGGAACCATTTATTGAGTACATACTGTAGGCCAGGTCCTCTGGATAAAGTCTATCAGCCCTATTTTCCAGCTGAGGAAACTGAGACTCCAGAAGTCTTAACGGGGGCACCTGGGTGGCTCAGTCCGTTAAGCGTCCGACCCTTGATTTGGCTCTGGTCATGATCTCATGGTTTGTGAGTTCGAGCCCTGTATCGGGCTCTGTGCTGAGGGCACGGAGCCTGCTCGGGATTCTCTCTCTCCCTCTCTCTCTGCCCCTCCCCTACTCGTGCTCTTTCTCTAAATAAATAAATAAATAAATAAATAAATAAATAAATAAATAAGAAAAAAAAGTCTAACTCAAGCAACGTCACATAGTGAGTGGCAGGACCAGGATTTGAACACAGGCCTGACTCCCAGTGCCCTGTTCTTTCCACCATGCTCCACATGCACATCGAGGTACCTTCCGCTTCCAGGAGTCTCTACCCCTAGTGCAGACTTCTTCATGATGGGAGAAATGAGAACAACAGAGACGCTCCCTACATCTGATTGTGGAAAGCAATATTATGCCAAGCCGGGAAATACTTCTGCTTCGTGGCTTGTGCTGATATTTCTTATATTAATAGCATTTCGGAATTGTAGAATACTCATATAAAGTACTGTAAGTTATGGCTCTTTCATCAGCTCATCCTTCTACTTTTGGGGAGACAGAAATCCCTCCCAAAACAAGAGAAAATAAGAAAAAAAAAATCCTGTCTGGGCATTTCTGTATCTTCCTACTCCCCAAAAACAACTCGGTGTCCCCTGCTGACAGTATGAGTTACATGCCATTACAACGTCTCGAGTCAGAAGCGAAGCCAAAAAGACAAGAAGTTTCCCAGTTTGGTTTTGGAGATACACATGGGGCTTTTGGACCTAAACTCCAGAATTTCTTTCTTGCCTTTCTGTGAAGATTCCACCCGCAGGAGCCATTATAATCTTCCCGTGGTTCCCTCCCCCAAATACAAGGATGACATGGGGAAGGCTGCGACTCCTTCTGCCCCCAGCTTGCCAGGGGGTACCAGCTCTGCAGGCCAATGGGCCAGGGCCCAGGAACTTGAACCAGGGACTAACCATGCTGCAGGTCAGGGCTGCTGTGCCAGGATCAAGGACGGTCCCCAGAGAGGGACCACACAAGTGACAAAGGCAGGTGCATTCCATGTCACGGTTGCACTCTCCATAAAGTGGGTGCTCAGTGCCTCTGTTGAGAAATCGGGGGAATGGGCGGTTCTGGGAGAGGAAATTTGTGAGATACAGGTAGCCCGTGGGATTGTGGCATGTGTTGCTGTGTGTATGTATGTGAGGTGTCCATAAAGCTGGAGAACCTGAGGGCGTAGAGTCACATGCGTGCAGGAAGTGTCTGGGGTGGGGTGGGGTTTATGAATGTGAGTGTGTAGCAGAGGACCCATGTGTATGTGTAGACTGGGAAAGGCTGTGCCTGATGGGGTATCTGTACTTGAGTTTTATTTGGTGACTATAATGATATAAGGGGGTTGTTGTTGAGGGTGTTGGGGAGTATAAGAGTATGTAGCAGTGACTAGTGTGATGGTGTGTGTGTGGCTGATGGCTGGCCCTGGCAAAGTGGGGGGGGGGGGGGGCGGAAGACAGTCTGTGCAGTAAAGATACTTTATATGCATTTACAGGATGTCTAACATCTAGGGCAGGTGTCCTGAGCACATGAGACAGAAGGCAAAAGCCTGCGTTTCTGAGCATGTTGGTCACTAGTGTCTTAGTATTTTAGGATTGGGGAAAGTGTGTGTGTGTGTGTGTGTGTGTGTGAAGATGAGGGGATCTCTGTAGGAGGGTTTGAAATTTCTGTGGGCAAGGCGGGGATATTTAAGATTCTGAGTTCCAGCTGAGGGATTAGGAAATTGAGAGGGTGTCCATGCAAAGCTGAGTTGCTGTGTGGAGCTGGGACCCTCTGTGGGAATAATGCTGCTATGTGGGGGATCTCTGTGGGGTAGAGGGTCTCCAAGGCTGTAGAGAATTCTCCACGCAGGATTTGGGGTCTCTGTGGACACCTATGGTTTTTATGGGTGGGGCTGGGGCATCACTGTGTTGCGTTAAGTGGGAGGACCTCTGTTTGGGACTGGCGAGTTTCTGTTTCTGGTCTGAAGTGGTCCTGCAAGTAGATGAGGGATCTCTGTGAGGAGTGGGGAGAGGTGACCTTGGAGAAGAAACCCTGGCATGGGAGGGGCGCCTGGGTGGGTGGCTCAGTCGGTGAAGTGTCTGACTTCGGCTCAGGTCATGATCTCCGAGGTTGGAGGTTGGTGGATTCGAGCCCCACATCAGGCTCTGTGCTGTCAGCTCAGAGCCTGGAACCTGCTTCAGATTCTGTGTCTCCTCTCTCTGCCCCTCCTCCGCTCATGCTCTGTCTCATTCTGTCTCTCAAAAATAAACACATGTAAATTAAAACATTTTTAAAAAAGAAAGGAAGAAAGAAACTCTGGCACGGGAGCTGAGGCTGCCGCGCTAGCTGCGCCTCTTACCGTCCCCCTTGCCCGACCCTTTCGTCTTCTTCTTCTTCCTTTTCTTCTTCACCTTCTGTTTGCTCAATTCTAAGGCGTTGCCTGCTATGGGGGGCAGTTTGGGTCTCTGCGAGCTCGCAGGGTCACCCTCTCGCTCCTCCTCCTCCTCCTCCTCCTCGTCCTCGCCCTCTTCGCCGTACCCGGATGCCCCGGCCCCACCGCGGCAGTCCATCCGCCCTCCCGGCCGCCACCTGCGCCTGGGGCAGCCCAAGACCCGCGGCCGCCGAGCCCGCGGCCGCAGGAGCTAAGCGCCAGCCCAGGGCCACGCGTCTCCATGGCGACCGCCGCACATCGCGCGTGCGCAAGCAGGAAGCTGCCGCCCAGGGGCCGCCCGTGGGAGTAGGCGTGCGCATGCGCCTTTCAGTATGTGTGAGACCTTGGCCCCGTCCGCGGTGAGTCCGGGAGGAGGAGAGAGATTCTAAAGCTTGGGCTGACGCACACGTTCACTTCTGTGCCTTTTAAAATGCTGTTGGTTGTCTACTAAATTTTCATCTCCCAGCTTCCAGTCTCGGTACGTCCCCCCGGGCCTTGCAAGCCCAACGCGTCTCAAACAAACCTGTTTCCCCATGGTTCTCCTGGAACAGAGCAGCTGGACGGGCAGAAACCTTCCCCGACATTCTCCCTGTGCCCTTACCTAGGCTGGACTCACGGTCATGCTTGGCACTTGAACTTCTGGACCTCCCACCTAAATGGTCTCTCTGCATCCAAACCCTCCTCACAAATTCTTTATCCGCAACCTGCTATAATGAACTCTTCAAAACAATTGGCTAAATTTCCCTCTCTTGCTTAAAACCCTCCAGTGGGCCCCCATCACAATACCTAGCAAGACTGAACTTTAGGGGTGGCCGGGTGGCTCGGTCGGTTGAGCGACTGCCTTCGACTCAGGGCGTGATCTCATAGTTCCTGAGTTCGAGCCCCGCATCAGGCTCTCTTGGCTCCCTGCTGTCAGCACAGGGATCCTCTGTCCCCTGCCTATGCCTGCTCCTCCCTCGCTCTCTCTCTCTCTCTCTCTCTCTCTCTCACTCAAAAAAAGACTGAACTTTAGTGTGGCTTACGAGGCCTGGTGTGATTTGCTTTTCTTGCCGAGCTTATCCACCACAGGTTGTTTTCTAAAAACGAGTGCGAGAGTATCTCTCATCCTCCTGTGCTCTTCTAGCCTCCAACCACTTCCACATCAAGAGACAGAGTCTAAGTCCATGCCCCTTCAATGTGGGTGGGCTGGTTGACTCACTTGTAACCCATGGAATGGGAGGAAAGTGCGGCTGTGGCTTCTTGGCTAGGTAGTGCAAAGTAATCAGCAGCATCCATGTTAGCCTTGGAGACCTCAGCCCCCTGGAAGGAAGTCTGATACCTTGAGGCTGCCATGCTGGGAAGAAGCCCAAACTAGACCACATGGAGAGACGGTAAAAGTATGTGAAGGAAGAGGGAGAGGCCCCAGCTGCTCCAGTCCCCCTTTTCCACATCCAGCCGTAGTCTCACTGCAACAGCAGACTGCCTCCCACCCCCAGCCCAGGCCAGCCTCACGAAGCCAACCCCATCCTGACTTCCTGACCCAAAGAGGTTGTAAGAGACAAAAGGATTGTAATTGTCTACCAAACTAAGTTTTGGCGTAATAAGATATGCACCAATAGGTAACCGGCACATCAGTTTTTTTTATTTTAGCCATTCTAGTGATGAGGTTTTGGGGTGATGGTGGGGGTGGTGGCGTTTGGAGCTGACGACTCAGAAAGAATTCTTGAAGACTTCTTTGGTGAAAAAAGGTGATTTTAGTGAAGCACGGGGACAGGACCCGCGGGCAGAAAGAGCTGCGCTGGTGTCTGGTGTCGTGTAGAGTGACTGCTTATATACTATGGAATTGGGGGAGGTAAAGACAAAAGGGAGGCCTCCAGAGGGACTTTGATACACTAAAGAGAACGCGTAAGATGCCTGAGGCCTTGCTGTTGTCTAGCTAAGGTTGTTTTCCCTCTAGTAAGACATTAACGTTAGGACAGTAGGGCGTTCCTAGAGAAGTGTTCTACTCTGTATTTGCCTCAAGTGTTTGTCAACGGGCGGCAGGTTATAAGGAAACTTAATTTTACCTGCCATTTCCTTCTTGCCTTTGTTCCCACATCACTATGGAAGGGAGATGTTGGGGCTCCAGGAAACTGAGTCTATAGGTTTCTGGAGATGAGGCTACTGATAAGATTGCCTTTTTCGGGGCGCCTGGGTGGCGCAGTCGGTTAAGCGGCCGACTTCAGCCAGGTCACGATCTCGCGGTCCGGGAGTTCGAGCCCCGCGTCGGGCTCTGGGCTGATGGCTCAGAGCCTGGAGCCTGTTTCCGATTCTGTGTCTCCCTCTCTCTCTGCCCCTCCCCCGTTCATGCTCTGTCTCTCTCTGTCCCAAAAATAAAATAAATAAACGTTGAAAAAAAATTTTTAAAAAAAAAGATTGCCTTTTTCTTGTAATTTACTGAGATATTTGTAAACTGATGGAGACTCATGTCCTGCATGACTGTGATCTGTTTTCTTTCCTTTCCTTTGTCCTTGGGCAGCCGGGGTGCCTGAGGAATAACACGCACCTCCCACCTGGGGGAAGGGAGGTGCTAGCTTGTGCTTTGCCCTCAGCTTGCCTTATGGTCCCTCATCACTAGTGTGTATGAAGTTGTATTTCTCTGTGGTTGTAAATGCCATTTCCCTCAGAAGTAATTTTTTTATTTTTTAAATGTTTTTCTGTATTTGGGGAGAGAGAGCGTGAGCAGGGGAGGGGCAGAGAGACAGAGAGAGACAGAGAGTCTCAAGCGGGCTCCGTGCTGTCAACACAGAGCCCGACTTGGGGCTGGAACTCATAAACTGTGAGATCGTGACCTGAGCTGAAATCAAGAATCGGATGCTTAACTGACTGAGCCACCCAGGAACCCCAGTGAGCACTTTTTAAACTGCTTATTGGCCATTTGTGTATCTTACTTTGTGAAAGTGTTTGTTGAAGTCTTTTCCCATTTTGTAATTGGAATGTTTATATTTTTAGTGTCGATTTGTAAGAGTTCTTTACATGTCTTGGCTATAAATCCTTTCTCAGTTTGATGGCTGCAAAGACATTTTTCCAGGTCTGCAGCTTGTCCAATTATGTTCTTGTTAGTGTCTTTTGATAAGCAGACATTATGGGGCACCTGCGTGGCTCAATGGGTTAAGTGTCCAACTTTGGATCAGGTCATGATCTCACGTGAATTTGAGCACCACATCGGGCTTTCTGCTGTCAGTGTGGAGCCTCCTTGGGATCCTCTGTCCCCCTCTCTCTGGCCCTTCCTGGCGTGTGCTCTCTCTCTCTCTCTCTCAAAAATAAATAAACGTTAAAAAAAAAAAAAAAAGAAAAAAGAAAGCAGACATTTAAAATGCCGATGAAGCCATTTTATCAGTTTTTTTTTTCTTTTAATATCCTCCCCAAGGAGTCTTTCCTTACTCTTACTCCTTTTTTTTTTTCTTTCCTTACTCCTAATCACAAAGATAGTCTTCTGTTTTCTTCAAGAAGCTTTATGTTCCAGGGTTCATTTTTTTTCCAAATGGATTTCCAATATTTTCAGCAATTTTCTTTTCTTTCTTTTTTTTTCCCCAGCAATTTTCATTGAAGAGACACTTCTCTCCCCATTGACTTGACTTGGCATTTTTTTGTTGTTGTTGTTAAATATCAACTAACGTATATGTATGAATCCATTTCTGGACTCTACTCTGTTCCATCAATCTATTTGTCTCTCCTCCCACTGATACCGCATTGTCTTGGTTATTGTAAGCTTTACAGTAAATGTCGATGTCAGGTCATGTATGTTTTCCAGCTCTGTTCATTTTCAAGATTGTTTTGACTATTCCAGAGCTTTTGCTTTTCCATACACATTTTTAAATCATCTTGTCTATTTCCTTAAAACAGCCTGCTGGGATTTTGATGGGGATTGCATCAGATCTATCTGGTTTGGCATGGCACTATTTTACTCAGTAATGACAGTCATTAGTACTGACCCACACACAGGCATGTGTGGACACATTACTCCTCTGTAAAGGACTGTTCTGTTGTTCTGTAGGTATGTCCTTAGTCCTCTCAGACACTGGCAAGCTCCCTAATGTGTCCAGCACAACTCTACATACCCGAGTGCTTGGAATCTGCCTTTTGCCTGTCTGCTTTTGTCCCTAGGAGTTAAGTGAAATGTAAATGACAGAGATCCTTTGTGCAAATGATCACCTGCCAACAGAGACGTCAGGGTTTGCTTTCCAGGTACTCTGCCCTATTCCCCCTGGTGCTTGTAGACAGGTGCTTGGAAAGGCTGGCTTCTCTTCCTTTCCAAGAAAGGCTGGCATGTCTTTCTCTCAGCTGGTCCTCTGTGCCTGGATGTTCATCTGGCAGGAGGCAGCTTGACCATTCTGATTCCTGATTTTAGTGAAGGTTGCATAGAGGTTATGTTGAGCCAGCCAGTCAGCTTTGAAAGAGAAAATTCACATCCAGGAAAGGACATACTGTTGTATAATCATAAAAAGCTCTTGCAAGTAGAGATTGGGGAAGTATATCCCAATTTGATTGATGAGGAATCAGAGATGCAAAGTGACTTGCTCCATCTCTCTCTATTAATTAGCTACCGTGTTGGGCCTGAAATTGTAACTGAACTAATGTGAGTTCCCTCCTTGGTGAGTTACAAGTAGAGACTACACCAGCTCGAGGTGTCAGAGAAAGGAAACTTTGCAGCAAATAGGGAGATCAGGGGAATAAGTTCCAAAACTGTAACTTGGGAAGCTGTGACTTCCCAAGCACGAGTATGTGGGTTTCTTTTGTTTAGGGTAGGATGAATATTCAGAAAGAGGAGTTGTGTCATTGTAGGCAGAGGTGGGCATAAGGTCAGGGGAAAAAAGTGCCTTTGCACGCATTGTGTGTGATGTTAATGAAGTTCAGCTCCTTCTTGGGTGGATATTTTAGAATTACAATGAGGTAGAGACAACCGTTGGTTACTCCAGGGCCCATCTGCACAGTTCTGAGTCGTGGTTGAGCTCAGACTAGTCTGGGTGGTCAGGGCTGTCCTTTCAGTTTTTATCATGGGATGCTATGCCCGTGGGATTTTTTGCCTGAGTTAAAAGACCAGCTGGAAATTGAGTGCCTGGTTCAATCAGTACAGCATGTGACTCTTGATCTTGGGGTCTTGGGTTTGAGCCCCATGTTGGAGCTAGAGTTTACTTAAAGAAAAATATGCTGGAAACAAGACTTAAGGAAATGTGGGACAAAGGTGAGTGGGTACATGCAAGGGTCAGGTCTTGGGGTCTT